TATATATATATAATTTATTTTATTTATATTATTTATTTATATATTTAACCCATTACGTTATTTCTTTATTCATTGATTACCGAACATCATTACTTAATAATATTAGCTTTTCAGTTTAGCTGAAGTGTCGAATACAAAGGATGAAACATTGAATCACTGAAATATATTAATCACTTACTTTTAATTTCATCTAGAAAAAAATGTCTACAAGAAACTAACCTAATGAAGGTTGTTGTGAAACCTCAAACTTTTCCTTTTGACAATCAGGAATAAAGCTTTCATTTTTTTCAGATTCCGTGATGCTTGTTGAATCGCTGATATATGTTGTATCAGTGATATACGTTCCATCTTTGTGTGATTTGAAAATTCGATTGAAAATGTTGCCAAAAATTCCAATTGAAGTAGATGGTTCTGATGTTTCTTTATCAGCTAGTTCTTCAGGATGTGGCGCGAAGTAAGTAATTCTGACTTCACTGATAGATTCATCCATACTCCAGTCGAGATACTGAATCTAAACATATAGCAGTAAATAACGCATAAACTACATACTGAATAGAATATCAATAATTCATTAAGTATAAATGATAGAGTACATTATAACAGACAACAGATTTCATAGGCGGAAAAAGAAGCTGCTGGAAATTCGCGTACGATATTTAGTATTGCTTTACGAAAGTGTAGAAAATGATCTTTCTACATAAAATCACGTTAGAAAAATGCTGAATTTTCGAATTTTATCGAATGGAAAAAAGCACGGATTGGAGAATGATAATTATGAAAATAGATGCACTAAAATTAAGAGTAAGCTAAATCCAGTTGATTTAAAATTAATTTGTTATATCTAGTTTCAACCCAAACATAGATCACTCACAAATAAAAAAAATAAGCATATCAATTCCTAAATCCTCTAAAATAATAATCTAAACCTAGGTAAATTAAAAGTAAATCTAAAAAAACTTAGAATACGTCATAACATTCAAAATTAAATACGCCAAGTTAAAATTTTTAAATTTAACGCAAGGAACCGCATTAAAAACTGTATGCTGTGCATTTTCACGTATTTTGCTTCTTTTTTTAATTTTTACTTAACGTAACCTGAGATTTTTTGCTGACTTGCATTTTTATTTTGTGCTCGATTCTAATCTATTTGTTTTTATATTCAGCATTATTTTCTTCTGAATTTTTTGTCGCTTTAATTCATTATGTTATCGCTCAACAAAATTTAGTCGTAATCAGATTCAAAATAATTGATCTTACTGATCATAGCAATACTATACATGGATAAATAGTGATCTATAGCAACGTATTCAGATGATAACTAAGTCTATTATCAAAAAGTACTATGAACACAACAAAGTAGAAAATCAAATAAATTTCACAAAATTGATTCTAAAAATTCGCTGAAAATTGCTGGTCAGTTAAAGCATGTCGCGTTACTTTCTGTTATCTCAGAGTTTCAAGGTTATCTTACGTGATTCGTGGCTATCTTCATGTGATTTTTACTGATCTGTGGAATATCATAAGTCAAAGGTTAAAAACTGCACTTGTTATTGATATTAATTATCATTATTTCTTTCTTTTTTTTGCATGATTATAAATTCACATTTTTGCTGTTAGTAGAGTGATTCATAATTATTTTGATAGCAACTTTCCAATGTTATTTGTTTTTAATTTACATTTGAAACTAATCGTCCAATTAATTGGGATAGAATAAGAATATCTATCTACAATTTTTCCGATGTATTAATTTTGAAGAGAAAAAATAGTTCTTTAAATTTTTATTGCTATACAAAATGCTAAAGTATGCTTTCAGTTGGCAATTAAAGTTATGACTGTGATAAGGAAATTGAAAATTGTAATTAAAATATGAAAATTCTCCTACGCTGATTTGTTTTCTTCATATGGGCTTTTGAATTGTGCAATTTTTCTATTTTTAGATCTGTAGAAGTTCATAAGTCGAAGGTTAAAAACTTTTACAATTTTTTTTATAGCCTAAGCTAGTATGAATAATTTTGCAAATGGTCTGATACATTAAGCTATAAACGATGATTATTGTCAGTTTATTCTAATAATATTGATGAGTACATTTTATTTATACCCTTTAGATATTTATTTGTATTACAAACAATATTTAACAACAAGTTAACGGAATGAACTATATTTGTTTCAGGCACATTTATACCTTTAAATTGAAATACAGTATATATTAGTAAGAGATATTCAAAATTGCAGTGAAAAGTATTAAAATATATATTCGTTGATTATTGACGGAATTTTAGTATTATTATTGTTTTCTGACAGTTATTAATTTCATGTCATATTTAGTGTAAAAATATTGTTGGTTTTTTAGGTAAAAGCTTAACAATGGGGACTGATTTATTTGGTATGACAGCTGTATATTACTTTAAAAAAGCAAATAAAATTGCTGACAAATTTTTGATTAATAATTGTAATTAAAATGCGAGGAGTTACGTAAAGTAAAATGGATATTTTATGTGTGTTTAATAATTTTGCATAAAATACAAAATTATATAATTTAACTTCTATCCAAATTGATATCATTAAAAGAGTAGACGAGTGCAAGTGTTGAGATTTTGAATATATTCTTGTTTATTGGCAAAAAGCTGAATTAGAAAGTCAATAAGCTCTAAATTTACTAATCTAAAAGCTTTTAGCTGCTAGAAAGTATATTAGAGTATTTCGTGAATGGGAATAAAATTTCAAATTATTTTTTCTCGCAGAAATTAAGTTACAAAGTTTTATTTTGTGAAAGTGATAATTTGATTTAATTTTCAGTCCTTTGAGCAATTTGGAAAGAAAATTTTTTCAATATTTTTTGATTGCACTAAAAAATATTAGCTCAGTGAGTTTCTATACACTTTTGCTTAAATATTGAGTCATAAATTGAAAAAGTTTTTACTTCTAAAAAGTTTTTTTCTGTAAATAAAACGATGAAATGACAGAGTAGATCAACAGAGTAAATATTTGCATACCGTTAAGTGTATTGCTCTAATTTTTTTTTTTTATAAAATTTATTTTTTTTAATTTAAAAAGCAAATACTTTTTTATTCAAGCAATATTTATCATACATAATAAAGTTATGATTTCTTTGTTATTTCAAATTTTTTGTCTGTAGAAAAATGGAACATTTGGAAAGTATTTTTTGCTGCTCATATTAAAATTTGGTATTACTATTTAATTTTATTCATTTTAAAAATCTTCGCTATTTGTGTTAACAAATGTTAATTTTTTGCTGATATTTGTTATTTTTTAGTATAAACTAGGCTGATTTTTATGAATTAACTGTATTTTTATGCATAAAACTGATAAAATATTGTATGCTGTTATGAGATTTTTTTTTCTTTGATAGCTAATTTCTTTTTAATTATTTATTAGCTTGCTGAAATATAATACAAAAATATTTTAAATATTTTAAAAGATAATTTTTTTTACAAAATTCTGCCAAGTGCTTCGGGTAAAAAAACATTTGAAAAAATGGTAATCAGATGATTTATTGTTTTTTTGTATGCAATTAAGCACTTTTTCTCACAGAAGGTATTAGCTTCAACGTTTAATTGATAAGGATAGTAATTTTGTTTCCAATTTTTAATTAAAAAAATCATATATAAATTATTGGTAGTGATAGAGAGATTTGGATTTAAGTACAAATATTGCTATCTTTTGATTATTGAGATGTAGAAATATGTTGAGATTCAATATGATACTTCTTAATAATATATTAATACTGCTAATGTTTTCATGCACAAGTAGGAGAGGATATTAACCTGCTATTACTGGTTTTTAATGAAAAAGTGAATAAGGGTTGTAGAATGAGTCAATTTAAAAATGTTTATTTTTCCCCTGTTTTCTAACACCTATGTTGTTAGCATCAGTTTGTATGACTGTTTAAAGTAAGTATTTCAGAATGCAGATTCTAGAATCAGAACTTCTACCTCATGATTTCTAGAAAAGAATATTGCAGAACAGGTTTTTATTGATATTCTGGTTTTTATTAGTGTTTTAATTAATAGGCTGAGAAGTGTTTAAATATGGTCAGAGATTATAGTCTAATATTGTTGAGTAGTGATGATTTTGAATATTTTTTATTAGTAATTTTACAAATAAATAATATTTTATTATAATTTCTTTATAATTTGAGATTGTAGTGATGGCTTAATTTTTATCAGTAATAAAGAAATCGTAGTTGTAAGATAGCAATTGCGATTGATAAAAAAATCGTAAATATATTTACTTTTATGGGTGACTTATTTGTTTAGTGATAAATACGATGTAAAAGTATAGATAAGTCATAAAGGTTATCAGGAGTAAATTATTGAGGTAATTGAAACATGCTAAGAATAAATTATAAGTTATTATTGAAAAAATTTTATCGTGGTAAATAAGTTGGCTTTATTGTTGTTAGTAATCGAAGGAGAAAGAAAGTTAACTTAGATATTCACGTTACGTAAAGTGTCATTAATTGAGTCAGCCACCCAACCATCTATCTATCTACTCAAACAACTATCTGCTAGTTTCTCTTATTGCAAGCAAATGAGCTAAACCTATTAGTTAGCTTTATTTTCTTCCCTTCTCATATTCTAACTGATAAATAAAATTTGCGTTTTTAAATTTGTAAGCATTTTATTTACTTTTTTCTGTATTTAATAATTATTATTAATCGAAAGATAGTTATTTTTGCGTGAATGGATGAATAATGGTGAGATTATTTGCGAATACAGACTGATTAATTGTATATAATATTTATTCCTTAGCTTTTGTAATTACTGAATAATTAAAATTATTTAACACGTGCTAGATTTTTTTATGTGTATAATGCTAGAAAATGTGCAGAATATACTACTAGTGAAGTTTTTGATCTAATCTTGAGAATAATGAATTATTTGATCTCTTAATTTGTCTCGCTATTGTGTGATTTGATTTTTATGTTATTGGTAGTCTGAGTTCACGTCCTTATTTCCTAGCATGAGAAGTGATTTTGTCAAAAGCAATTGAAGTAAAGACTGAAGATAAAATGATGGATTCTGAACAGAAGGGAGCGAATTGTTATCTCTAAAGCATAATTCATATTGCGCACACAAAACCACTAACAATATCAATCACTTTTAGTAATGCTTTATTATTTAATACTGGTTGAATTGCTTCTTTAATTTGATGCTGAAATAATTTTCTGCAAAGTATGCAATTTATGGCTTGAATTTAATTAGAAATTAATTGTAACAACGAGTGCTTATGTCTGTTTGTGTTCATTAAGTTTGATTCAATTAATTATAATTCCATTACGTAACTGATTGTGTTCTGAATGTTACATTTTGGATTTGAGAGTTACTCAGATAACAAGTAAATAAGTAAGTAATATTATTTATCAAGTGATGCATGCTGGTTTTTAAATATATTCATTTGATCTAATATTAAATGTATTGCCTCGGTTTGAATATGGGAAATATGCGAGATATTTCTATTTATATACTT